TCTACCACTCATCTATAAAATGGAAATAACGATGCACTTTTTACAAGAGATTGATTTAGTGATTAATTAGGTTAACAGATGTGCAGTGCTTAAGAGATGTGTGATGGATATAGTAAGTATCTAACAAATCATAACTCTTATTATTCACAGGCTTTAGAAAATTCTAGTAGCTCTCTTTTCCCATGTAAATGACACTTTTTTTTGCCATAGAACTTACACAAATACTATTCTCTTGGTCTCCAGTTCAAAATCCTATCTAAACCTCAAGAGCATTTCAAATAGCATTTTCTCCCCAAAGATACATCTGTGTAGATTCAAAATCAGTGTTATATCAGAGGGACTTGTTAGCCTTTGTGGGAATTCTTAGAAGCATGACACTCCAGGAATACAGTGAGCTGTTACAGCTGTCCCAGAGGCATGGTCTAATGAGGAAGGAGATGCTGTCTCTCTCCAGAGTTAGCAACCCAGGACTTAGGGACCTTGTCTTCCTCCACTTTGTATTCCAACCACATCTTCCTGTAGGAACTTATGGGTACTATATGCTTGATTACATTTCAGTAAGTCTGGCGTTTTTCATTTTATGAAAATTAAAAAATATGTTAGATGTTACATGTGTTATATGTATGTTACATGTGGTATATGTTATGTGTTACATGTTGTGTGTTGTGTGTTATATGTTGCCAAATAATGTTGTGTGTTACCAAATATGATATGTGTTACATATGTTATATGGGTGTTATATGTTGCCTAATAAAAGCCTTTGCTTTTAAAGATACACTGTAATTAATAACTAATTTTCATGATGGAGGTTTCTGATCTGCAGTGTGGCCCTGCAGAGAACTTGTTAGCTGGTGCAGAGCAGAACATGAAAGATGGGAATGGGGCACCTCTGCTCTCTTTAGAAGTTGTTCATGCCTTAACTCATACACACAAATTTCATATTTTGATTTTTTAAAATAGCTTTATTAATGTGTAACCTACCTATCATACAGTTCACCTACCTTGAATCTGTTTTTAGTTGGCATATAAAAATTGAACATATTTCTGGAGTACCATGTGACCTTTCAATACATGTACACATTGTGTAATGTTCAAATCAGGGTAAGTGAATCTATCTCCTCAAACATCAATTTGCCCATTTAAAGTGTACAGTACAGTTCAGTGATTTTTAGTATGCTTGCAAAGTTCTGCAACTATCATAGTAATCAAATCGACAACATTTTCATCACTCCAAAAGGAAACCCCGTACTCCTTAGCAGCCACTACCATTTCCTCCCACCCTTCATTCTCAGCTCTAGGCAACCAAAATTCTCTACAGATATGCATTTCCTGGACTTTTCATATAAATGGAATTATACAGTATATAGTGTTTTGTGACTGGCTTCTTTCACTCAGCACAATATTTTCAAAAATCAATCATGTTATAACAAGTACTTTATTACTTTTTATTTTTATTTTTTTGACAGGCAGAGTGGACAATGATAGAGAGAGACAGAGAGAAAGGTCTTCCTTTTCCGTTGGTTCACTCCCCAATGGCTGCTGCGGCTAGTGCGCTGCAGCTGGCACACCGCGCTGATCCAAAGCCAGGAGCCAAGTGCTTCTCCTGGTCTCCCATGAGGGTGCAGGGCCCAAGCGCTTGGGCCATCCTCCACTGCACTCCCGGGCCACAGCAGAGAGCCAGCCTGGAAGAGGGGCAACCAGGAACAGAATCCAGTGCCCCAAGCGGGACTAGAACCCCGGGGTGCCGGTGCCGCAGGCGGAGGATTAGCCTATTAAACAGTGGTGCCGGCCTTTATTCCCTTTTATTGTCAAATAATATTCCATGGCATGGCTGAATCACATTTTGTTTAGATATTTGTCCGTTGATGGGCACCTAATTTGTTTCTGCTTTGAGGCTATTATGAATAATGCTGCTATGAGCTTTCATGTCTATGTTTCTGTATTTATCTTTCATTTCTCATGGATGGGTGGAGTTGGTAGATCAATGGTAATTGTGTGTTTAACATTTTGAGGTATTGCCAAAGTGTTTTCCAAAGTGGCTGCACCAGTATACATTCTCCCTAACAATATTTGTGGGCTCCAATTTCTCCTCAGCCTGGACAAAGTAAATTACTGTCTTGCTTTGTGAGTATGGCTATCCCATGTGAGATGATATCTTGATTCCGTCTCCATTTACATTTCCCTGATGACTAATGATGTTGAGTTTTTTCATGTGCTTATTGAACTTTGGACTATCTTCTCTGGGGAAGTAACTTGTCTGATTCTTTGCTTTAATTTTAATTTCACTTTAATTTTGTTATTTATGTTTTCAGTATTAAGTTGAAAAGTTTTTATATATTATTTTTTTTGACAGGCAGAGTGGACAGCGAAAGAGAGAGACAGAGAGAAAGGTCTTCCTTTGCCGTTGGTTCACCCTCCAATGGCTGCCGCGGCCGGCGCACCACGCTGATCTGATGGCAGGAGCCAGGTACTTATCCTGGTCTCCCATGGGATGCAGGGCCCAAGCACTTGGGCCATCCTCCACTGCCTTCCCCGGCCACAGCAGAGAGCTGGCCTGGAAGAGGGGCAACCGGGACAGAATCCGGCGCCCCAACCGGGACTAGAACCTGGTGTGCCAGCGCCACAAGGTGGAGGATTAGCCTAGTGAGCCACGGCGCCGGCCTAAGTTTTTATATATTATTGTAAGTCCTTATCAGATATATAAATTGCAAAGATCTCACATTCTGGAAATTTTCCTTTCATTTTATTGATGTCCTATGAAACACAGAAGCTTTCAATATTTATGAAATCTAATTTATCTATTTTTCTCACATGGCTTATGCTCTTTGGTGCTATATTTAAGCAAGCCTACATCATCATAGGTCATTTACTCCCATATTTTTTAGTGAGAGCTTTAAAATTTAATTCATACACTTATAATACTTTTGTAGCTAAAATTTTGTATGCTATTAAAAGAGGTGTGATTTTACTCTTGTGTGTGGAAATATAGTTGTTTTAATACCTTTGGTTGAAAATACTATTCACTGTCCCCACTGAACTGTCTTGAACCCTTGTCAAGAACCAAATGATCATAAGTATAAATGTTTAATTATTGAATTCAATTCTATTCCATTATATCAATCAACTCAATTCTATGCCTGTGCTAACACCACACAGTCTCCATTATTATAGCTTTGTAGTATATTTTATAATTGGGAAGTGTAAGTCCTCCAGATTTGTTCTTTTTCAGAAGTCTTTTGACTACTCTGTGCCTCCATATTATCACATGAATTTCAGGGTAAACTTGCTAATTTCTGCCATAAAAAAAAGCTTACTAGGATTTTAATAGAGACTGTATTTAATTGAAGATAATTCAAGGATTAAGGTCATTTTAACTATAATAAATATTCTAATCCAGGAGCACAAAATATTCCATTTATTTATGTCTAACTTACTTCATTTCAACAATTAGGGGGTTAAGAGTACAAGTTTTACACCTTTTTTATTAAATTTCCTTAAGTATTTCATTCCTTTGATTTATAGTAAATGGAATTATTTTCTGTACTTCATTTTTTTTTTATTGTCTATTGCTACAGAAATACAGTTGAGCCCCTGCCACCCACATGATTGACTCCAATGGAGCTCCAGGTTCCTGGCTTTGCTTGGCCCTGCCCTGGCCCTTGTGGACATTTGAGGAATTAACCAATGGATGGAAGGGCTGTTTCTCTCTCTGTCTCACCCTCTCTCTGTCACTCTGCCTTTCAAATAAGTAAATAAATCTTTTTTAAAAATGCAAGTGATTTTTGTATATTGATCTTGTATTATGAAGCTTACTAAACTCATTGATTAGCTCTAATAGCTTTTTACTTAACGTGTTAGGGTTTTCGAAATAGAAGATCATGTCATCTACAAATAGAAATGGTTTTACAGCCTTTCTAATCTGATGTCATTATTTATTTGCTTGTTTGTTTGTTTATTTTTTACCCTTGATCAATTGCCCTGGCTGGAACCTCTAGTACAAAGTTGAATAGAAGTGGGAGACCGAGCCTGCTTGTCTTGTCCCTGATCTTAGACAGTAAGCTTCAACATTAAGTATAATGCTAGGGAGTTTTTCATAGACTTTACTGTTTGAAGAAGTTCCTTTCTACTCCTAGTTTTTTGAGTGTATTTATCATGAAAGAATGTTGGATTTTTTCAAATGCTTTTAATTTATTAAGATGACCCAGTGAGTTTTGTCTTTTATTCTGTTGACATGGTTAAATACATTAATTGATTTTTGGTAAACTACTCTTGCTTTCCTAGGATAAATCTCACTTGATGGTCATGTATGAATTACAAGATTTGATTTGCTAGCATTTTGTTGAGAATTGCTATTTATATTCATAACAGTCTGCAGTTTGTTTGTAGTGTCTTCATCTGGTGTTGGTACAGGCGTAATACTGATCTCATAGCATCAACTGGCAAGTGTTCCTTGCTCTTCTTTCTTTTTTCTGAATAGCTTATGAAGACTTGATATTAAGTCTTCCTTCAATATTTTGTCATCTTTTGTTTTATTACTTTATTTATCTTCAAAATGTAACTCAGCAGTTCCAGCAGAGGAAACGAATGCCCACGCTTTCATTTTACAACCCTGCGTGTTAACTGTGATCCTTAACTCACACGGATACTGTCAAAGCTGGAGCTACTCACAGGAAACAGAAGTTCCTAACTCGTCCTTAAAAGTTTTCCAAGTTATAGAGAGACAGAGAGAGAGGGAGAACATTAGGCTCTGGGAATCGATGCTTCGCTATCCCGGGTTGCCTCCCTCTTCGCTGCCCCTCGCCAGGCAGGGCTCCGGGCCAGGTGAGCGCGAGTCTGATAGGCGACGAGGGACAACTGTGGCATCATCCCGGCTGCCGCCAGTTTCTGCAGAGGGAGGGGTTGGGCCTGGAGGGTCTCCCGGGGCGGGGCGGAGGAGGCGGGAATGCAAAACAGAGCCTCCTCCCTGGAACACAGCAACGCCCCTGGCTATAAATTGGGAGTCGCGTAGCCGCCGGAGATTCCAGCGCCTGACAGCCAAGACCCCGGGCAGCGGTGAGTGGCAGCAACGCCGGGAAGGGTGCTAGCAGCGGAGCCCGACCCGCGGCCGAGATCCCTGGGGAGCGGCTGCCGCCGAGGCGGGTCGTGAGGGCGCGCAGCCCGCTGGCGGCCAGACCTGGTGAGTCCGCGGGGCCGCTCGACGGGCTTGGGGACTGCGAGGGCGGGCGTCGTGAGTTTCGTGTGCCGGGGACCCAGCCTCCGCGGTCAGCGGCCACCCTGGAGCTGGCCGCCCTTCTCCAAAGCAGGTGATGGGCTTCTGGGATGGGAAGAAACAGCCCCGAAAATTTCACTCCGTTTTGCTCCAACTCCCTCGGGGCACAGGCGAGAAATGTGCAGACGTGGGATGCAGTCTAGCCAACTTTCCATGGCGGCTTTCTGTTAACTCGCGTCTTTTAACGTGATCTGAGTGGCAAGCCCCTATACCTCCGTGGGGTGTCCCTTTCCGGGCTGGGGGACGTCGTCCCCGCCCCCAGACCCCGGGAAATCATTTGGTCTGTCTGGCCCTGCCAAGGCAACTGCAGGTGGAACTCGAAACGCAATACATCTTAGAGCAGGCTACTTTTTAAGTTGATAATTTTGCATGGCCCTTGAATGATTTTATACTTATCTCAATGACCCCTGGCAAAAAAAGAAAATAATAATAATAAATAAAAGAGTTGTGCTACTTTTGAGATGAAGTGAAGAGTGTCCCCAGCCGCCTCATCTGCTTTGGGGCAACAATCCCCGCATCACTCACGGCCCCTTCTTCCTCTCTCCCTGCACACCGGGGGAGTCCATGGCACAGGACACAGCTCCCGCCCGCCCTTGGGTATTACCATGGTGTCCTCTGTTACATCCAGCCCGGGAGGGGAAAAAAGCAAGGCGCCTCGCAGCCCAGTCCTTGTAGCCTGGGCCTGTGCACATTTGTAACGGGAGGCAAGGTTTTGGGCAAAGGTCTTTTGCTTTCAAGACTGGCCAGAGCCCCGTGTTTGCCAGTTCTCTTAAATGTCTCCTGTATGGGCCTCCCCTGGTCTCCAGGAGAACTCAACAGATCTCCCCACAAATGCCTCTCCTGCCCAGTTTGTCCTGGGGCAATGGTTAGAGACAGTGGAGCGCGTGGAAGGCTCTTTCTTTGCCTACTGTCTGCTGATGGCCTCTTTCAGCATCACAGCCCCACTGCTGCCATTTCTTCCCAGTGAGAGTGAATGCTCACTCTCTTTTGGATCACATTTGGGGCTTGGCTGTGTTTATTTCCTGTGTCATTCTGGGAAGAGAAAGTTAACAGGGAGGCAAAGCTCACAGCCTCCTCTTGTGTTTGCTAACTTTTGTTGAGCAACTGTTGTCTCCCAAAGGTACTTCATGCCCAACATTTGTCACCACCTGAGCGTCGTGGGCCCCCAAATGTTTATTCCCCTTAGCATAAGCTTTCACACCTTGAGAATCAAGAAGGAAGGAAGGAAGGAAGGAAGGAAGGAAGGAAGGAAGGAAGGAAGGAAGGAAGGAAGGAAGGAAGGAAGGAAGGAAGGAAAGAAGGAAAACAAACCTGGCCAAGGCTCCTGTCTCTTTTCATGGTCCCCTAGCTTTATGTGTGGATAATCTCTCCTTGGGCTATGATGGTTTCCCAGCACCCTTCTCTTCTTCCCCACAACACCCTTCCCGACAGCAGTTCATGGGCACAGAAGCAATGGGAGAAGGGAATGGAGACTTCCATGTAACAAGCTGTGTGCTATTAGAGGTGTTACTTAGCAACTCTAAACCTAAGATTTCTGCCCCCACAAGGTCCCCTCCAGGGATATTCTTGGATTCCTTTTGTTTCCTGGTTATATTTTTAAAAATAAAAGTCTAATATAATTATCCTGTTAGCTTATGCTTTAAGTCTTCAAAACGTTCAAACTATCCTGCTAAATGATCTGCCCAGGACAAACATGGAGCTTTCCCATGATGGCGTCAGGTGTCCACCCCCCAGATCATAGCTGATAGTTTCTGTAACCTGATTCAAGACCCCCGGAGTAGCCCCAAGTTTAAAGGTCTCAACATCTGTTCAACTTTCATAATGATTAGTTCCAAGTCTCTTATGTCCTCTGTCTTCCCCATTTGTTCCTGAATTCATTGTTCTTTGTTCTCATCATGAGGCCTTAATTTCTGGTTCTGCCTTCTTTACTCTTAAACTGAATATCCATCTCAGGAAAAAAAAAAAAAAACTGCTTTTCTGCCACTGGTACCACTGATGTTGCTGGAAAACTAGTCTTTCCTGAGATTTACAAACATCTTTCAGTCCCTGTTGCTGCAGCAGCACTCCTGGGCTTAAATCTTTCCCCTCTCTCTTTTCCTAGGCAGTATTCCAAAAAAGTCCATTTTGTGGATTGCTCAGATTTTGTATTTTTTGTTTTTCTTCCTTCTTGTTTGGTTTCAGAATTGTGGGGGGAGGGGTGTAATTTGGTTTGGTTTGGTTTTGCTACTGCTATTACTTTCTATTATTGGTGTTATTACTATAACTACTTTTCCCCTATACTAGAGGAGGAATAATAAGAAAAAGTTTAATCTGCTACTTACCCAAAGCAGAGGTAAAATGCTTAGTTGAGAAGGAATCTGAAACTCATAGTTCAAAAACATGGTGCATTCTCCTATAGTCTGTTGTCACAGTGCACTTTTCAAGGAGTTCACTGAGAGTTATTGTGCTTTGCTTTCAGCTTTGCCACAGGGACACAATGATAGAGTCCCATCACATTCGCATTTTGACTGCCTACTGCCAACTCCTGCCCTTGTATCTCACACTAGTTTACACAGCTCTCTCCTGATAGGTCACAACTGGTGAATGCCAAGGGGTCTCCTAAATTAGAAGTCTTGTTTAGAGTTTGAGTAAATCCAAGCGTTGTAAAGACTGAAAGGCTATCTTGAAGATGCACTGTAGCAATAAGCAAATACGGAGCTGGAGCAACAAAATATGACAAAGAACCAAAGCCCATTGCAATAATGTTTTTCTCTCATGCTGCCAACACGGATAAATCAACTTTTAAATTCACCACCACTGGAATGTACTATTAATTTTCTTCTAAGAAGTTCTAAGTTTTCTCTTTCAAAATTGCCTAAAGTCATTGGATTACCTAGTCTATGTTTCTTTTCACTATTGTTTGCTAAAACAAAACACTAAATTTCTGATCAACAAAAGCAATAGTTTGATTTCTAGCCTAAATTTAATGTCACTTTGCTTTCTATTTTATTCAGAGTATGAATTTTAGCTTCTGAAAAAATCAACTTTTTAATGAATTAGTATTAAAAAATCTTAAGTCAAGGAATATTTGTATGGATTTGAGGTACTATATGAGTGATTTGGCAAGTGACTGTCATTATAAAACACAAATGTTTCAATCAGAACAAAAAAATTTGCAATAACTATAAATTTGCCAAATGTTTCTGGTTAGTTGTTACTTTAATGACAAATTTGACAATGGAAATAGAAAACAAAGTATATATTTAGAATTTATATTTATATTTAGCATAGAAATGACATGTTGATAATGTTACTGGCAGTGGTTGTATTAACATTAAAAGATTTGCCGGCGCCGCGGCTCACTATGCTAATCCTCCACCTTGCGGCGCCGGCACACCGGGTTCTAGTCCCGGTCAGGGCGCCGGGTTCTGTCCCGGTTGCCCCTCTTCCAGGCCAGCTCTCTGCTGTGGCCAAGGAAGGCAGTGGAGGATGTCCCAAGTGCTTGGGCCCTGCACCCCATGGGAGACCAGGAGAAGCACCTGGCTCCTGCCATCGGATCAGCGTGGTGTGCCAGCCGCAGCGCGCTCGCCGCGGCGGCCATTAGAGGGTGAACCAACGGCAAAGGAAGACCTTTCTCTCTGTCTCTCTCTCTCACTGTCCACTCTGCCTGTCAAAAAAAATTTTTTAAATTAATAAAGAAAATAAAATAAAATAATTAAAAAAAATTAAAAGATTTGCTATCCCATTTTGATTATCTCTATAGCAGGTGTTCATGGCAGAAAAATCTTTCTCTTGCACATGAAATGCAAAATCATCTTTCAAAATATTTCACTAGCAAAGAATTCGCTGTGTAATCTAAATGTTGTATGACTGCCTTTTTTTTTTAAAGATTTCTGTATTTATTTATTTATTTATTTATTTGAAAGTCAGAGTTATATAGAAAGGGAGAGACACAGGGAGAAATCTTCCATCCACTGATTCACTCCTCAGATGGCAACAATGCCCAGGTCTGAGCCAGCCCGAAGCCAGGAGCCAGGAGTTTCTTCTAGGTCTCCTGTGTGAGTGGCAGTAGCCCAAGCACTTGCTTTCCCAGGCCATTAGCAGGGAGCTGGATGGGAAGTGGAGCAGCTGGGTATGAACCAGTGACCATATGGGATGCTGGCACTGCAGGCAGCGGCTTTCCATGCTTCACCACAGTGCTGATCCTGTATGACTGCTTTATTTTACATTGTTCCTGAAGTTCAGTCTCAAACGGTTTGTTTTTGGTTTGGTTTTGTTCCTTAACAGATGTATCATCTAATGTCTTAAATAGAAATAAACATCTAGAATCTGTCAGTTATTGTTAGTTTCTTTCCTATACCCAAGAATATTTTTAGTCATGTTGCTAGTTTCAAATTTCACTACTTTTCTAACATTAAAAGTCTAAAAAAATGAATAAGAAATGAGTATACTTAGGTTTTCACAACGCAAAAAAAAATTGCATTGTGCATTCCTTTATTTCAAGTCCCAACTCTGAATGTACTTAAAATTTTTAATCATAAAATTAATAATCTTCCATTTTGTTTCAACTTTTATGTGATTCCTTGTTCATTTTACAGATATATAAGATGCCTTGATCTCAACCAAATGATGTTAAAATCTTAATTAGATCAATGGATTCAAGTACTCTGAATAGTTAACTGCCAACAGAATATTGGAAAATACACATATGGCTGTGTGCTCTTAAAGAGAATTTATGATTGCTAATTTGCCTTCTAAGCTTCTTTAGATATTTTCTCATTTGGTATTAATCAAAGCTCTTCTTATCTACTTTGGAGAATGAAGAATTATGTCTCTGAAATGTATGAACAACAGTAGCAAACTCTTGTAGTGAGGAAATACGTGGATCTGAGTGATACTGGGCTCTGTGCACACACCAAAGACGAAAA